CAGGGAGTTCAAAGGCATTTGCCTATCTTTCCCTCAATAAACTGATACTGATTGCTGTATCCTGTCCCATCGGTTAAAGGTAACAGTTCTTGCAAAAATAACTGATCGTCGTACTTACTAAGATGAGTGCGCAGTCGTCCACATCTACGTCTGTTACTAGGGGACTAAAATTCCAGGAAGAACCACGAAGAGCACGTAGTCTGCCAGTGTCTAAGGCAGTCATCTACTAACCTAGCGCAAAAGGGAAAATAAATGTAGGTCCCGCGAGAGCAATTACATGCACAGTAAAACATTAGAGGCCCAGGGACAAAGATGAATCAGCAATACTTACGTTATGCCAGATAGAAAGGTAAATAACTTTCATCAAAATTTTTTCCATGTCTTATATGCTGACGTATGACACCGACCGTCTTAAACAGTGTGCCATTAACACCAGCGTAAAACTGCGGAATAAATACCAGTAAAAAACCAATTATTGTCGAGCATATTTTATGGGCTGATAAGCCTTACAACTGCGTCCATCCTTCTTGGTGATAAGTTGACCAAAGCCGTGCAAATAGAAATAGGTCTTTGCATTATAGTGCTCGTAAAATATCCTATTCCCTAACACAAGTCAGCAGTTTTGTTGCCAGTCCGGTAGTCGGTTGAACTGCGAATAAACTGGCCGACAGGAACAATCAGATGACCGTTCTGATTATGGAAGCATGGGCGAATTAGAAATTTCAGTATAAATAAGCTTTGTTTAGGTACATTTCTCTCTTTTTCCTTTTATTTTTTTGTGGGTGAACGCAATAGAATTCCCGAACCCCCAATATTTTTATACATGAGTATAGTGGAAATGGTGAAATGAGATTTTGAAGTGGACGCAGATTGTAAGGCGACTTCTTCTGATATACGCATTAATTGTCCATTTGGTTAACATATAAATTAGCTTAAAGCCCAGCCACATGGCTGGTAGAGGTTGCGCATTTATATGACGTAGAGTTTGGTTAACTTGCGTCTCCATACAGTTATGTCATACAGTTCATATTTAAATGTAAGGCCCCTCTAAGCACCTCAGCAGAAGATCGGGAACGATAAGCGAATCCTTCGACAAAACTCTATACGGCTTTGTTTAGAACTTATTTGCATATTTTAGTTAACTACATGAAGCCCAGCAAATAAAGTCACCAACTGGCAGTCTGCAGTATACAAGCGGTTACTGATTCATCACACGATCAAGTGCAAAATGTGCCATAACGCAAATCCGTAATCCAGCGTCCCTAGTAGCATTTAGAGGAGTGCCATTACAACTATTCACTTGCAGACGTCCATAACCAAAGTTTTCAGTTACGTTAAACTTTAATGCGGGCAAACGCTACAACCTGGACTATTTCATTGTGATATGACAGCATAGATGTTGAAGCACAGATAATTATTGTAAAATCTAACTGTAGACGAACAGAAAATAGTAAAAATGGTTGCCCTCTTTGTGACATACAACACACAACGTGAATTTTGCAAGTCGGAAACGGATGGTGGTGTAGCATATCAGCAGGACAGAGGAAAATGTCACATAGTACAAATACCTAGGCTTTCAACTTAAGTTTTCTCACTCTCAAAGCTAGCGATAGATGAACGCATCCACGTTTGGTTCACTTATCTATAATTGCAACTAACGGAGTAATCTGATGCGCTATACTGTAAATGCAACTGACAGTTATCATTTAACAGCTTTTGTGTCTCGTACTCTTGTTCATGACGTTCACTTCATAGACTAAGCCCAACGTTCATGTGCTCATTAAAATTAGCACATAAAGTGGGCGGATGCGTTGAGAGAGGGGAAGGCAGATAACCACATTTACTTTCGGCATCTATATATGTTCACGGACAGCCACGCCTAAATTTTAAGGATTGTATAGAATTCTCGTTGAATTTACCTTTATTTCTCCCTCGCACGCTTCCATCATCTTTTGCTTAGGTATGATCGTCGGAGCCATGTGTGCGGTTACTGGAGTGCTTACGATAGCACTACCCGTGCCAGTTATTGTCTCCAACTTCTCCATGTTCTATTCGCACACCCAAGCGCGCTCAAAGTTGCCGAAGAAGAGGCGGCGTGTACTGCCAGTGGAGTCTATAAGGCCCAAGACAAAGACAATCAGCCCTCTTGACCGCATCGGAACTGCGCGTTCGCGATCTGTCTCCAAGACCTATCTACCTGCACTGTCTGACGGTAAGCATAATCCTTCTATGTCAAACAGAGTCTTAGAACGCAAGTCTTTTTTCGGTGATTGACACTAAGAATTCTGTCTACAAAACTGTTTTCAAAGGTACTTTGATGTACTTAAATAGGTTCTGGAGGAGAAATTATGCGCTACCTAACAATGCATTTCCCAATGCGTTTTCAATTGCTTCAACATAGTAATGCAGAACGCCAATATTAGCAAGAAAGTAAGGATGATGACCGTATCCATCAATAGACAAAGTACTCAGCACAAACGGGAATATCTACACTTAACTCGGTAAGAATTAAACAGAAATACTAGTGATATGTGGCAACTGATTTCAGGACCTACAATAATCGATAAACCGGGCACTAATATGTTTGTCGAAATCCATGAGACGGCTAATCCTCATTACTGATATTTTGGTTTATAGTTGCCATGAGGCCGATAGGAATGCTCGAACAGAACGACGGTTCTGTAAAATGTAATCCTGTTGCGTTGCCTGCCAACTTACTTTAAAACTATGGATCTAGTACGGCCTAATGTTTAATCTTCTTAAGCTAAAAAATAACAATTTCCGGCATAGCAGTTCATATAAAAAGTAACGAATATATAGCATTATTATCACACCGAAAAAAGTATACAACCAGTAAAATGACCTGAATACGGAGAGTGAAAAAATGCCGTTTGGGATGACAGTTGTAATGACTCTGACTTAAAAAGTTCTTTTTTATATAAAGAAATTAGTTAAATTTCGTTTTTAATTTACGAAAAGATTTACAGTCAATGTTCTAAGTTACAGCTAGTTTTTAAGTCTCAGGAACTTGGGCATTATCGGTAAAATTTTAATTTTCTAAACAAACCGTTAGTGCGTTGCTGCCACAGACAGTTAGTTCTTCTTATAGTTCTTTTAAGTACTTTATATGCTTAATGCTGCTTATTATTTCTACGTTTTCGTAAATGCGTTCACACTGGTATGCGAGTAATAATCAAACTTTTACGAACTTAGGCATGTTGCATGCAGCACTTGCCATACTGTGTTCATATTTCCACTCCTTTTGGCTGGTAACCCTTATTGTGAGTATATCGCATACTGCGGAATTACACGCAAATGAGCATTGCTGGCAGATAAAAGAGGTCCCAGAGAGGCCAGTTCTAACTCATTAGCCGCCATAAGCCAGTTATACTCAACCCAAGCTAGTGCACCATCCCGGGCTCGAACCCGCAAACTATTGATCAGAATTCTAACCATCGAACCATTTAGTCATGGGCTCGCCGTCTTGCTGGTTTGGATATGAAATATTTACATTTGTTAGCAATTGTTCAGTGGTTAAAGCGTTGGACAAAGCGTTAAACAAAAGGTCGCGAGGCCGAGCCTCTGGTGGGACACCAGCTGGGGTTGGATTTGAGTTGGCTGCTGACGGCTTGTGAGCCAGCAATAGTCATTCAAGCCGGCAAAGTTCCTTTGCGTGCATTGCTACGCGTTTATCGACTGATGGCGGGACTCGAGCGTGAGCCAAAAAGCAGAACGCCACGAGTGATTTCTGTTAGCGATCGGTGAACGCTCATTGGTGAAAGCGGAATTCCAATTAAAACCAATGGAAATTAAATCTGTACCGCTAACTTTCAGCGAGAGATGCTCTAAATACTTGCCCAATACTGAACTGATGTTCGAATTTTGTCGTTTCTTACACAAGAAGACTAAGATTGCTTGTTCAGAAAAAGAAATAACGTTGGTTTGCTATAGCGCAAGGGGAGGGAGGTTATGAGATCACATGCGTAGGTTTCCATTTAGCATAATATCTTGACAAATGTCTGCAAGTTCCTATTTAGCCGTGCGATTGTATAACTAATAGAAGTACCCCAAAATAAAGTACGAAAATGCTATAATTAAAAGTCAGCAAAACGAATGTCTCGGCCTAAATAAGTAAACCAAATACTAAGCAGCTATAGAAGAAAACCACTGTAAAATTACTAATGATGCTACAATTTCGCAATAAAGCATTTACATCCTATACTTGTTCAGTTCAACATAGAACGCAAAACTGCGGACCAAAACCTGCATATCTTTATTTTATTCAGAGTACGTTTATGGATTTAATAAAAAAACTAAGGAAGAAGTGATGAAAATTTACTGTCGGCAGCTTTAGACCTAGGGATTCACGTCGACTTACCAGCGCCGAAGATCAAAGACTTCTGGCTAAAACGTTAAATCGCGCTTCCCTATCTGTAGTCTGCCAGGCAAAAACAACCACTTTTGGTTGCGTGTGACGTGAGCTGCTGTATAGTCTGCGTACTCGGCTAAGGGGTAGGCAGCTTGATTTACGTCCTCACGTAGGCAGCAAGCAGGGAAGTAAAGAAGACCAACTGGTTGTATCCTCGAGTCAAAAAACACAAATTAGTGTTTAAAACCAAAGCCAGAATACATTAAACACGATTTCTATGTGTGTTTGCAAGCACACTATTTACAGCAGTTTGTAAAAGTCTATAAGAGCTTTTTTTGTAGAAGCGCGACCATACCGATTTAATCGGACTGAGTTTTTTTCCGAAATTAAGCTGCAAATTTACAAGATTGTACTTAATTGAAAGGCATTCCATTAACGCTTCTGGACTTCGTTTTTCAATACATTCTAACCGGTTAATAATGCGTGCAAGTTAGAAATCAAATGCTCTTAGTGAAGAAGCTTTATCACCAAGAGCATATAAATATAATTTGTTTACACCACGCGTGGGCATAGCGTGCTGGCGATAACGTCACTGTTTATTAAATGGCATAAACGTAAGCGCATTTGCTAAGGTGCAAGTTCACATCTCCTGATGAATTGGCAAGGGGTAATTAAAGTGTAAAGGTCAGATAGGCAAATCGCATGCATATGCTTTCAAGTTATACGCAATGTTGCCTGTGTGGTTTTGTGTCCTCAGCCGCTCGTTCTGTCCTCCCTGAATCACAAATCTTGAATAGCAGTAATGCAGGCTTATCTATCTTGGCGGCAAATAGTTCAACAAACTTGAAACGTAGACGCCGACGGCGCAGCCGACACTTAAAGTTACAAAGTTACACTACCAAAAGTGAATGTCCCAAATTTGCCTTAATGGACTATTCGTCTGCCGACAAAAGCCATTATATGCAGTGCAAGATTTTTCATACTGCACCAGCAGTAAGGCCGAAGGAAAGAAGACAAAACAACCATCTTAAGCCGTCCATAAATTCGCAGATAT